GGAATATATTGACATTTTGGGTTTTCTAAAGATTTTTTAAAATTGATGAATATGTAATATTTTTCATTTCATAAATACAATTAAAAATAGTAAAATAAAAAAGAAATGCACAAAACAGTATGTTGGCCGGTCCAATTACCAGGCGCCGGAGCCGAGATGTTGCTTCGTCTCGCAATAGGCAAGCCAAGGTCGCACCCACAGATGCGTGGGATGGAAGCCCAATACGGGCGGGCCTAAGCTCAAAGGTCATCAACGATGGCATGCAAATATCAAGACATATAAATAAAGAGACTTAAAACGATATTAAGAGGTAAATCCTATTAAAGATCGTTGGCACTATTCTTCCGTAGGGTATCTTGCTTATTGTGAGAGCCCCGCTTCACTTCTGGCGCTCTACTAAACGGGGCAGCCCAACACTATAACCTCTAGAGTGGTTTTGGTAAGGTTCTATAGATTGGTTCATACCAGTTTCAGAATTTCCTTTGTGCCTTTTTCTTCTTCTTTTGTTTCTCATGTACTTTAGTCCATTAAATTTTGTATTTATTAGTTTTTCCTCCTTTTCTTTGAACGGGCCGGCCCAATGTCGAGGGCGTCACCTTGTTGTCATGGGTCTAGTTCGTGAGAGCTCCTGTTCGACGCGTTAGCGTCAAACAGGGGAGTTTTCGCTGAAGGTTTTGTGCAAGCGGGCCGGCCCATTCCTAGGAGTCGAGGGAACATAATAAGAATGGAAAAAATACCATCATATGATGGAGTCGAGCTCTCGACCTAACTCTGGTTAACAGTGTTGCCAACCACTGCATCAAGGGACTGGGCATGTCTTTAATAACGGCGCCACCCTTGAAGTGCTATGTGCACCGGCAGATCGATTTTTCTTCCTTAGAAAATGAATAATGTTTTTTTGAACAAATTTCAAAACTAGAATTTTAAAACGTATTTTTTAAAGAACGTGAAAAATATTAAAACATGAATACAATTATGAATTCAAACATTTATTGATTCTTTTACGTATGATAAACAAATTTTAGCTATATATTGAACTTTTTTTAATATACGCTGAACAACTTTTAACTGCACATTGAACATTTTTGTTATAAACACCGAACAATATTTAAAACACATTGAACTTTTTGGTGATATACGATGGACAACTTTTAAATATACATTGAACATTTTATGTAATATACGCTGAACAATTTGAACTACACATTGAACATTTTTGTGAAATACGCTAAACAACATGTAAATACATGTTGAATAATTTTGTGAAATACGATGAACAATTTTTTGAATTGTGAACAAAATTTTAAAAAGTGAATCAAATTTGAAACTGTGAAGAATTTTTGAAATCATGAGCAAAATGAAAATGTTTTTGAAAACAAAGGATAAAATAAAAACGAAAAAGGATAAATAAAAGGAAAGAAATAGAAGCAGAAACAGAAAAAACAAACACAACAAAAAAGAAAAAGGAAAACGGAGAAAACCAGAAAACCGGCAAAAAGAAAAAAAAACAGAAAAAAAATCGGTTGAGGTATCCTTCTAGAAGGTTCCAGAACCATTTTGCCTCCTTTGACGCTGGAATTGGGCCGGCCCGTTTCACGGTGCACTCTCGAGCGCTTCAGCGGAAGCACAGTATCTGGACGCTCGCGGGCGTCAAATAGGAAACGCCCTAGTCCTTATAGGTCTATTTGACTGCCCTCGAACGACATCGGGTCGTCGGTGGGCCTGTGGCTTCCACGGCCGATGTTGTGCAAACAACAGCGAAGTTTCGAGGAGGAGGAGGCCGCGCCACCACTTGCCACCACCAACACCCTGCAGCACTCACCACTCTCCTCTCCTTTGATTCGGTCGCTTCTCGTTGTTGGTGCCTAAATCGACGCATCTACGCCTGCCATTGTTGTCACCGCATTCAACGCACCCAGGCCCCAGCACCATCACGTTTCGACGAGGAACGAATTGCGCAACCACCTCGTCCACTTTTCACCGTCCTACCTGCCTCCACACGCCACAACCGTCACGCTGTAGCACCCCTCGCGCTCGTCCCCCATTTTGATTTGGCCGCTTCTTGTCGTCGACGCCTAAATAAACGCATATAATATTGTCGCCAACGTTGCTGGATTTGGCGGGGACCAAACTACGCAGTCACCTCGACCGCTCCACACTGCCTCACGGCATGTCATCCTCTCAACACTTTAATCTCGCCCATCGACCGATCGCCAGCACAACCATGTCCGTCGGTCGACCGGGCTCAACCCTCGCCCAACAGCTCGTCGACGAGTCTCTATCGGTAATCAAGTGTGATAACTAGTGGCGGCTGGTATTGTGGCTTGTCACGAGCTCGCCCAAACATCCTAGATGTGTTTTCTACAAGTGTAAAATGGACGGAGTGAGTATAATTTTGTACGACTGTTCTTCGGATCCGTAGCAATTTGAAACTCGTTGTTTGCTTAAAATTTTATGTAGAAAGGATGCAAGTTTTGGTATTGAAAAGAAAAATACATTGATTTATTGCTATCAATAAGCGTGTAACTGGTTTCTTTTATAGGATAAATGTGTAACTAGTTAAAGGATAAGAGGCCATATAGGTGGTGTTTGGTTCTCTAGTCCTATGACTTTTTCTAGTCCCAACTAAAAAGTTCCTAGTCCCTAAAAAGTCATTCCCTGTTTGTTTCTAGAGACTAAAAAGTTCCTAGTCCCTTCGTAGAGGTTATTAAATGACCATGTTGCTCCTAGTATATAGAAAAAACACCATAGGATGGCGGGCCAATGGGTGCATGAAGGGGCATTGTTGGAAAAGTTCTAAAAAGTCCTAAAAAGACTCTCCTTGAGAGTCTTCTTCATTTAGTCCCAAATGACTAGTTTAGTTCCTAAAAAGTTTCTCCGATTTGGTAAAAAAGTCTCTAAGAGACAAACACCCCCATAGAGGCCTAAATTAAAAGGGATGCTCTATCACCCATAAAGTGATGCCCGGTCGCCAAATCCATTTTATAAAATAGACAATACCAGATCCTCAATGACCTCCGTCGCCCTCGACGGCGAGGAGTCTGACTACATAAGCAAAGATGACTTCCAAAGGGACTCCACCTTTGGGGCTTGAGCATCAGCTTATCATGAGACAGGAGTACCACATGCTTCTATGTGGTTGGGTTGTTCGGATTCTGGCTTGGTGACCGCTTCCCAGTCCCCACTCACGCCTCCGATCGCCTCTAGGTTAGGATATCAACTCTCAGTGTACTTCAGGGAGATGCTCTTTAACTTGGACATAAGGTAGCAGATATCAATTTGGAGTATACACTGCGATTTTTATTTTCTCCATTTGTCTGAGTCAAGTGTTGAGTGCTAATGGAGTATATGTCTCTCTTTTTTCAGCAATATAGTGTTTATTCTTATTGGCATGATGCCTACCAAGGGGTTGCCAAAATATATCAATCAGACCATCTTACTTCTTACATATGTATTCATAATGCTCCTTTTTTTTCTTCCACATGGATATGTTTTACTTGGTGGTAGCCTGAATTTGTTCCTGCCCAATTAAACCTTTCATTTTACCATCTTTGTTGCAGGTTCTGCTGTATTATACTCACTACCAAGGTTCAGTACGCGTCAAAAACTACCAAGGTGCAGTTCCTTTTCCTTAAATTTGAATGTATGCTAGCTGTTTCCGATAGCTTAGCATGAAAGTTTGCAATTTGTTCAATTCAACATGTTACTACTGTTCAAGTGCTCCTCCCAATAGTTCATTACATAACAGTTGAATTTCATGCCATTGATTAGAAGCACCGAGAGTTATTATACATGATTGTTTTTTATCAAGTCCATTCCACATCTTCATGTAATATGTAGTTGCAAATCCAAAGATGGTTATTTGGTGGTTGATGCAGTTTCAAATTAATTGTGGTGGTTATTTGTATTAACTTGAAGTTTCCTAACTGCCATTTTTTTGTTCTTTTTACAGATAACAGAAATTTCACATTGTAAGGATAACTTTTCGTATGAAGTTCTAGGAACCAGGACAAACTCTCACATTGACGAGAATAATTTTTCACGTGGAGTTTTAGGGAGCAGAGCAAACTGTAACAATTAGCCACAATTTACAATTTACATATATTAGAACAACTTCTATATTAGGATGCTTAGTGTCATTTCCATTGTATTTGAGACTTCTTATGTACGTGATGTTTTTCTTTAGATTTTTTCCATGCCTGTTGATATTTTATAATTTTTTGTCTGTAATTTTTATAATTTGTATCTATGCATCATGTTTCGCAGCAACACGCGGGGTATCATAGCATTGTCTTCTTTTTTTGTGCAAGAAGAAATAGGGAGAAGCTACAGAGGGTACAAACATAGTTCCAAACTTTTCGCTGTCATACATTCGACATGATCATAAGCCTCTCTTTATTTCTGAGAAAATCATGGATCTATAAAGAAGAGAAGCTACAAAGGGTACTTAGCATTTTTCAAATATTCCCTGTGATATATAACGAGAAGCCTGTCATAGCAATTCTGTTTTCCATAATAATTTACATTTGCTTTCATGACTAACCATGCTCAATAAACTGTGGGAAAAAGATAGACTTATATTGCTACTATTTGCACTAGCTTCCATTCATTTCACATTGTTCAATACTTAATTTTGATCGCTTGTGCAAGGTGCAAACTTCTGGGAGCACACCTGCAGAATCACTTGGACAATGTATTCTTCTTTGTTGAGCACAGAGTGCAAGCCGATATCTGTCGTAAAATCATTCTCCAAGTAGTGTTTGGCAACAAAAATCATCTCAAAATTATGTATCTACTATGCGAACATATTTATTCGATTTATGTATCATATCATGTGCATTCACCAAGTGTTCCCGCAGCAACGCAGCGGGTTATCATCTAGTATTTTGAGAAGTTCAACCTCATGCGATATTTGGTCATTAATGGACTGGGCATGCAAATTTCTGAATAAGATAATGTAAAAGTCAGGAGCTGTAAAATCATGGCAATGGGAGTCGGTGCTATAAATGATCAAACCCTACGCATTCCGGTGACCCCCAGTGCCCCCTCTTTAGTATCTTATCCTGGATTATCCGTTTGCATAGTGTGCAGTAGCTGGTTCGGCACGCCCAACAGAAGACATATTTCTCATCATCCTGCATGACATCAATAAATTAGTTAGATGCATAGAGAGGCAAATCAGTGGTGTTTAGATTGGTCACGGGGCACCAGCAATTGGAAATGGATAGAATTCTGCTCTACTGATGCCCTGCTCCATTAAATTCAGAAGATATGTCTTGTTACCTTGAAATTTGTTTCGCGACATTTGGGGCATCTTATGGTGCCGCCCAATGGTTGTTTTTGAGCTTGCATCTGAATTCCATTCTGTAGTTCAATCATTTGCTTGTCCCAGTCGGTCATATCTGTAGCCTCGAAGAGCCGACAGTTCCTGAATCAAACAGATTTGAGGGTTTTCAATGGCACATGCACATAGGTAAGTAAGACAAATATCATGGATGGATTCCCTCATAGGGGTAGGAATATTTGATGTTGTAGGAGATAAGACGACCTACTTGAAGTGATCATAGCCATTGATTGTCTTGCAGCAACGAAAGCAAAATAGCTGACCACAACTAGTGCACATCACTTTATTGCAGCTTGCACTTCTGTTGATGGCCATTCGACAATTTGGACATACCCGAACATCTTTGTACAGTTCTCTGATGTTCAGCATTTCCTGTGACATCCCCCTTTCATTCAACTTGCCTGACGCCTTCAATCGTAAAATTATAAACAACAATATGCCCAGTAAAATAATGGCATTACATTACTATGGAAAATATTTCTGTTGCATCTTTACCTTCCGGCGCTGGAGCTTTTGTTCTGGAGTTAGACACTGCTTCCCTGGATGCCGTACTTCCTTGCAAGAACCGCAGAAGGTAAATGAACATTTCGGACATTGTGCGTTGTTATCCTCATCTTCCATGCAGCCGAGTGTTCGACAAAAAACTACCAGTTTAGGGGTTCGCATCCCACAGAACTACCACATTTTTAAAAGTGGCCGAAAACTACCAAAAAAACATAAAAACGTGACTAAAAACTACCAGGTTGACTGAATGATGGTTTTGACCGTTTTAATCGCGATTCTGATGTGAGTGGCTCACTTGCCAGGCGGGCGGCCCGGCTAACGGCGTGCGCGCGGGGCCGTTAGAGCTGCTCGTCGGTCGCACCTGGTCGGACCAGGTCAGACCTGGCCGGCCGGCTCCCCATTCCCCACCCTCTCTCACTCTCCCCCGAGCTCCTCCCTAGCCCTAGCCATCGCCAGCCATGGCGGCGGTGCATGCAAACTCCGGCGGCGATTCAGGCATACCTCCGGGCGGCAGCGCGACGCAACAGCCTTCTCGGTCCGAATCTTATCCTTCCGCGGGCGGCGCGCAGCAGAGGTTGGATTGGTCGGTGCCGGCGCGACCACCGTCGACGACAAGAAGCAGAGCTCAAGGTCGGCAGAAGCTTCCTCGTTCTGCGGGCGGCGGCAGGTATGGCATAGTTTTTTGCATGGTTGTGAGATTCAGAGATTCAGAGAATGAGTAAATTAGGCTAGTTTTTTGCATGGTTAGATTCAGTTATGGTGACCTTGCAAATTGTTAGTATTGTGCATACTTTGTTGTGTAAGAAACTAAAAAAAGCAGTTTGATAGAAACTCAATATTGTGCCTAGTTAGGTTCAGTTATCCTGTTTTCAGTTAATAAAGGTATTTCATTTTATAATCTTCAGAATTGATGACCCAAAGTGGTCAATTTGGTTCCATTTCAATGCCAGAGAATCTGTGGTTCGAAATATATACCAGTCAGACATATCATATTTGACAATGCTTTCTCTTATTGAGAGTGAGAGCTTTGTGGCTGATGATTATATGTACTATGTATTTGATGAGGAGAAAGGATTAGAAGGTTTAGATAAAATATGTTGTGAAGATGATGTGCAACAGATGTTGGCACACTCTCATAATGAAAAGTTTCTGAACATAAGAGTAGTGGGAGTTCTTGAGGAATGTAATGCAGATGAAAATCATGAAAACAGAGATAGTTATTTTGCTGAACATTGCATTAACACTCAACAAAGTTGCACTAACTTGGTGGATATAAGCATGGACAGAAAGGAAGAGCTGAAGAAAAGCATGGTGCAGAGAGAGGCTGACCTTAACTATTTTGAAGGTGACACTGATGTGTCAGAATTTGTTTCGGATGATGAAGCTGCAAATTCAGGTTCAGATGGGAACAATGTGGATTTTCGTTCAGAGTATTCGTCTGAAGATGAAGTTGCAAAACAAGATACAACAGTGGTACAGAAACTAAAGGTAGTGAGAAAACCTGGTCCAACCAGTAGATCCCACCATGAGGTTGAGAAAATGGAGAAAGCAGATTGGTTCCCTGAAGCAGATGAAAAATGTTTCCCTGGTGATTATGGCATCAGTGTTGAAGAAGATGAGCCTGAAGGATCCTATAAACTACCAAGTGATAGGAAGAGAATGAATAAGAAGTTGAAAGACAGGATATGGTATGATCACAAACTTCAAGGACTAGTAGAACAGTTCTGTAAGGGCTTGTGCTTCACCACTATGTATGAGTTCAAAGATGCACTTAGGGATTTTCACATTAGGACTTTGAGAAATTTTCAGTACCACAGAAATGCCCCAGATAGGATTATTGTTTGGTGCTCAGAGAGAGCCGCCCAGGGATGTGATTTTTATATATGTGCCTCTAAGTTAGCTCATGAAAAAACATTCTGCATCAAGAAGTGTGATATGTTGCACACTTGTGGAGCATGTGCAGAGTCCACAAAGGTTACTACTAAGTGGATGTCAAGGTCAATAGAGGCAGCATTGAGAGAAGACATTAGATCTCCTGTGGATGCATTAATTAAGAAGACCAAGACTAAGTTTTCAGTGGATGTATCGAGAAGTGTGGCATATAGGGCAAGGAGGAAGGCTCTTGATGTAGTTCAAGGTGACCACAAGCAGCAGTACTTGAGGCTCAGGGATTATCTTCAAGCAGTTCTTGACACAAACCCAGGTAGCAGGTGTATAGTAACAACATTTGAAGATCCAGAGAACCCAGCACCTACTCCTAGATTCAAGTATATGTTCTATTGTTTAGCAGCTTCAAAGGAAGGTTTCCTTAATGGTTGCAGACCATTTATAGGTCTTGATGGATGCTTCATCAAGTTAACCACTGGACAGCAAATTCTTGCAGCCACAGGAAGGGATGGAAACAACAATATTTATCCTATAGCTTTTGGTGTGGTTGATAAGGAAGATGGTGAAAGTTGGAATTGGGTTTTAACTCAATTGAGATGTTGCATTGGCAGTGGCAACAAATTTGGAACATACACTATCATGTCTGACAGGCAAAAGGTTGGGAAGAATTTCATTGAGCAATTTATGTTATTACTTTTTTAATTATTTCATTTTGTTCAATTGTATTAATAATTCGTGAATGTATAGGGCTTGCTTAAGGCAATAAATGAGGTATTCCCTGATTCATCTCAAAGGTATTGTCTTAGGCATATATATGCAAATTTTCAATCTGCTGGATTTAGAGGCCGGGAACTAAAGAAGTGTATTGACAAGGCTAGCTACTCCTACACTAAACATGGGCATGAACTAGGCATGGTAGAGCTGAAAGCACAGTCTGAGGATGCTTGGAAATGGCTCAAGAAAATTGAGGTCTCTACTTGGGCTAGGTTTTCTATGGATCATAATTGCAAAACAGATTTAGTTGTGAATAATATAAGTGAAGTCTTCAACAAGATGATACTAGATGTTAGGGCCAAACCAATAAGGACAATGTTTGAAGGGATTAGGACTAAGCAAATGATCAAGAGGCAACAAACTAGGGAGAAGTTATAGATTAACAGGTGGACAATCACACCAACCTACTCAGAGATTTTAGAAGAGAACAAGCAGTATACCAAGTATTGCCAGGCTGACAGAGCTGGTCCAACAATTTGGCAAGTTACTAGCAAAGAAAAACTGTATTGTGTGGACATGGAAGGGTATACATGTGACTGCAAGAGATGGAACATGACTGGTGTACCTTGCAGTCATGGCATATATGTACTGACAAAGCAAAAGCTGCATCTCGAGGACTATGTCAATGACTTTTTCAATAAGCCACTTTATTTGGAGACATACAAAGAAATTATATACCCTATTCCTGGTCCAGATTTCTGGCCTCACACAAACACTCCAGACATTCAACCTCCTGTGTTCAAAGAAAAGGCAGGCAGAAAACAGACTACAAGGAGGAAAGGAGAGTTTGAAGTTCCTGCCCCAAGAGACACCAGTAGGATGGGAACAATTACCTGTGGAAATTATGGGTTGGAAGGACATAAGTATACAAGTTGCAATAAGACTCTTAGGCCTAAACTGCAAATGAGGAAAAACAAACACTAGGTAATTATCAAGCATTAGAGCAATGTTTCCTTTTACATAGTCTAATCTAAGTTAAGTTGGACCTTTAATGTAGAAAAACAGGGCAGTCTATGCACCTGCTCCATGTGCTCCAGTACAAACTCCAAGAGCACCAGCCCCTAGTGCAAGAGCACCAGCTCCTGCTGCATCAGCACCAGCACCACATGCAAGAGCACCAGCTCCTGCTGCATCTGCACCAGCTCCTACTACAATAGCTAAAAGGGATAGGCCTGCAGGTGGAGGGAGAGGCAAGGGATTCAGTGCACCAATATCTGTTGCTGCAACTTCAGATGTTTTGGCTGGTAACAAAAGGAAGAGGTTTGCAAGCAGCAGATTGAGGGGTTATTTCTATGCAAGTGGTAACTGACACTATAAAAAGGTAGAACTTCTCTCTTTGAACCTGTTTGAATAAGTTTAGAACCTGTTTCACTTTGTTTTGAACCTGTCTGTACTTTTCTGCATGAGTCTGTCTGAATTTGTGTGAACCTGACCGAACCTGACTGTACTTCTATCAAATTTGTGGTGTAACATGGGCCTGATGGTGGGCTTCCGTGATGGACCTAACTAACCCACCAAGCCTGCCACACTGTCTACATAAGAGAGGCCACCAGAAACCATTGGATCCTTGCGCCTCATTCCCCTTGACCAAAACCTAGCTGCCACTGATGGATCCACAGTTAGGAGAGGTAGTTGATGAACAAGACGAGGTTGCTAGGGCTGAAAGGAGGGGCCAACCATCGACCAAAGGCACAGGAGCGACGCCAGCGGATTGCTGCCATGATTATGGCGGAACGCAATCAGAATGACGTGAAGCAGTTCAAGGAGGTGTTCCTAGAAGGAACCAACATCACAGATGAACTAATCATCTGGTGGGCTAGAGACAGGGCATCTTTCTGTCGATTCCAAGCAACAAGGAAGAGATGGACTCAGATCCTGGCTGCAGCAGAAGGAAGACAGGATTGGGATTAGTTCAACGCGGTAGTTTCTGACTAAATTGTGGTGTTCTGAATCTGCTTGTCTTGTGCTCAATATTGCCCTGAATCTTGTTCTTAGTATTGCTTTGAATCTTGTCTTGTTCTAAACTTTATGATTGCAGTGAAGGATGCAATTCAGGAGATGCACCAACCGTAATGAAGACGATGCAATGTGGCTGCCTGAATCTATGTTAAAGACTATGCTTATTTTCTGAACTATCTATGTTTCGGTTGTTGAAAAATCTATGATAAAGACTATGCTTATTTTCTAAGAACTTATGCCTGAACTTATGCCTGTATCCATGGCACAATATTTTTAAGTCTGAACTTATGTCTGAATCCATCTATCTGCATTTATCTGAATGTTTCTATACTTGGGCTTTGCTGAAATGTGATTTTTTGGCACTCTAATTTTTGAAATACTTTGACCATCAACTACTCCACTGTTTGAGCACACAAGTTCCAAGCTGCTGGGTTTCAACAAAGACTTTAATTGTAGCACAACTACCACCATTTCTCATCACTCAATCTAC